TGCTGCTGCTGCTGGTGCTGCTGGTGCTGCTGGTGCTGGTGCTGCTGCTGCTGTTGTTGGTGTTGTTGCTGCAGTTGGTTCTGGTTCGGGTTCTGCTGCTGACGCTCCTGTGCTGCTGTTGCTGTCAAAGTTGCGGCTGCTGTTGCTGCTGCTGCTGCTGCTGCTGCTGCTGCTGCTGCTGCCTCAGATGAAGCAGCAGAGAATGCAGACAAGAGAGAAAAAGAAGGAAAAAGGCAGGGAGTCGTATGGGGTCCTCTTGCTGCTGAATCGGTATGGAGCGGCGAGCTGCTCCCGCTGCTGCAGCAGCTGCTGCTGCTGTTGCTGCTGCTGTTGCTGCTGCTGTTGCTGTTGAATATGAGTTAATAGCAATTAGAAAAGCCTATAAAATAAAATAAATGCCCTTCTCTCCTCCTGCTGCTGCAGCTGCTGCTGCTGCTGCTGCTGCTGCTGCTGCTGCTGCCTCAACTACAACTCCCCCAGCCGCAGCAGCAGGCGCCCCGCGTGCTGCTCCCCCCAAAAGAAAAATAAAAAACAAACTAAAAACAAACAAAAACAAACAAAACCATCTATTGATAGCAACAGCAGACAGTGAAACCACCTTAACTTCCTCGATCTCAGTCTGCTGCTGCTGCTCCTGCTGCTGCTGCTTCCGCTCGATGCTGCTGCTGCTGCTGCTGCTGCTGCTGCTGCTGCTGCTGCTGCAGGTGGGTGGAGAGCTGCTGCTGCAGGCTGCATGCGGCCTCTGTTGTGCGTGTTTTTTAGTTTGTTTTCTTTTTATATAATAAATAATTTATTTATTAAAAATTATTTTCTCTTCTCTTCTGTACTGACACCGTAAACACCCACCACCACCCCGGGCCCCTCCCTCTCTTCTCTTCTCTCCCCCCAAGCAACACCACGGATATCTAGGCTCCTCTCTCTTTGTTTAATAGCGTTTATTCAATTCATATTTATTTGTTTCGTACAGCAGCAAGCGGCAGCAGCAGCAGCAGCAGCAGTAGCAGCTGCTGCAGGAGCAGCAGCAGGGGCCGCAGCTCCAGCAGCAGCGGCGGCAGCAGCAGCAGCAGCAATACCAACAACAACAACAGCAACAGCAGCAGCAGCAGCAGCAGCAGCAGCAGCAGCAGCAGCAGCAAGCTGCTGACGCAGAGGCTGCATGCGTTTCATTGAAATCTAAGAGAGGCGAGGCCCTGCTCTCCCCCCCTCCCGCGTACCTATTCCTGCTGCAGCAGCAGCTGCTGCTGTTATATTTGCTGCTGCTGCTGCTGCTGCTGCAGCTGCTGTGTGGAGATGTTTACGTTAGCGGAGACACGTGCTGCTGATCGAGGGCGCGGGAGAGAAGAAGATGAGTCTGAGTTGGTGTATGGCAGCAGCAAGGTTTCACCTGCTGCAGCAGCAGCAGCAGCAGCAGCAGCAGCAGGAACAGCAGCAGGAGCAGCAGCAGGATCCTCCTCCTCCTCTTCTTCTTTAGTATCTTTATCTCTATCTTCTGCTGCAGCTGAGGGTGAAGCAGCAGCAGCAATGCTGGATAGTTTAGATGCATCAGACACAGCAGCAGTATCAGCAGCAGCAGCAGCAGTTCAATCAGCAGCAAAATATTTAAACAACAACAACCGGGTGTATCTACACACAACGCTGGGGTGTATAGGCATCGAGCTGTACTGGCACCACGCTCCCCTTGCATGCATAAATTTTTATCTTTTATCAAAAAGAGGATATTATAATGATTGTTTATTTTTTAGAATTATAAAGGACCACTGGTTACAAACAGGTGACCCCACTGCCACAGGAAAAGGAGGAACCTCTATATATGGTAAACCATTCAAAGATGAAATACACCCAGGTATTGTATAAACCCTAAACCCTAAACCCTAAACCCTAAACACTAAACACTAAACACTAAACACAACAAACCCTAAACACTAAACACTAAACGCTAAACCCTAAACTCTACAAACCATAAACACTACAAACCCTAAACCCTACAAACCCTAAACCCTTTGAACTGTAGACAGTTGAAACCATAAACCCTATACATATATATATATATATATATATATATATATATATATATATATATATATATATATATATATATA